GACAGGGGACTGAAGCAGAACAAACGGCACAAGCCCGAGGAGGGTCCCGGCTGCCGAGAGAAGGAGCAAAGAACAATGACTTGCATTCCAATCTTTGTGGAAAGAAGCTCCTTCCACGAAGAGTTCCATAGGGCACAGGGCAATCGCACCCCCGTACCGTACCTACCTTACGAATGCCGTGGGCAAGTGCCTACCTTAGGTACACAGCGATTGCCCTCCTGGCTCCAATTCGGCTGTTTCCCTGCTTGTCTCTCCGTCTCTATGGAACACCTTGAACGCTCCTGCCTGCGCAAGCCAACAGATCATCGTCGATATCAGGGGCTGGGCCCAGATGAGCAACACTGTCGCTGGAGGTCTCAAAAATCCTGCGAAACTCGCTTCTCCTTCAGGCTGTTTTGAAAGTCCCATGCTGGGGTCTCCACTGACGTTCCGTCCAGCGGGGGAGCCACGCTCTTCTGACCCCCATTGACGCCTTGGCCTGGGAAGGCAGCTTCCGCTGTAACGCTAGCGGCAGTGGAGCCAACACCTCTGAAAGTCACTCTCCTCCTGCTCTCCGTGCAGCAGTACCTCATCCATCCTGCCCAGACCAACAGCCACACTTTGCCGCATGAACTAGACGTCAAGCCAACGAACTTCACCATGTTTTACTACGCAGCATCCGGTCGAGGGGCATCCAGCCGCATGCCTTGCACCGCTGCGACTTGGACTGCGACTGCAACTGCACGCCTGCCACCTACCTTACCTTGCCTTACTACGGATGCCTCCCGGTCCTGACCCAAGGTGACTCTGTACGACGACCCAACAGAGCCACACAGACGGGAACGCGCACTGCAGACGCCATCAATCAGTCAGTCAGCACCACAGCGCTCCGCTCCGAGTTGCTCCTCGTTGGTGTTCTCTATGACTCCTTTTTTCCGATCAAATGTCACAAGTCTGGGCATCCCTTCGAACGGATGAATCCACCCGTGACGCGGCGATCTCGTCGCTGTGCGCTTTCAATGCAAACTGAGCCGAACTCAACGGTCCGTTGCCCGCATTGCAAATCACCAACGGGGCCACCGGCCGGATCCTCAGATCCCCAAACCAAACGATTGCCTTCCTTGAATCAGCTGTAACCCCAAATACTGCTTCTTGAATCGTTCAAGTCAAACAAGTTTACATCGCAGCCCTCGATTCAGTTCAGCGAATTGGCGCCTCAGTGCCACTTTGATCCTTAGGGTTCTGTCAACGATGCCTCGACATGCCGTCAACGAACACCCTCCATTGCCAAAAGTGCACCGCATTACCTCATGTTGGCTGCCTTAGCTAACCTGTGCTCCCAGGCCACCTCATCCCGCATCCGATATCGAGTCTTGGTTTCAAACCTGGCCAACCTCTCCACAATCTAACCCCTTTACACGTATGTATGTCGTCTACTTCCACGTCCACCTCCACGCCCTCGCCTCGCCCTCGCCCACCCGTATCAGCCACTCCCGCATCGCCCATCTGTGTTCACTCCTCCCTCGGTGGGTCTCTTGACGGCAGGCCCGCCTCGACCCCCTTGCGATCCAGAGAAATAAGGTAGCGCCTCTGGTCCCTGTTCAACCACACACGCGTATTCGTCTCATCTACCACCTGTCACTCGCGCTCCGCCTCCTTCCGGTCTTCGATCGGTGGGGGGAATCTCCCGGAACCGTCATCAGTGTTTCCTCTAACATGATCTGCATCAAGCCGACGCTGGAGCCACGCCTTCTCTGCCTGGCTGGCTGGCTGCCCTAACCCGGGCCTCTTCGCAGGGCTTTACAGCATTGCCTTCAGCCTGGGCCAAAGATTCACGACGGGGCTGCCCTATGCTCCCCCGCCCGTCCCACAGCAGAGACAATCAAGAACTCGGCAGAAAAATCTGGCTGAGACAGGCCTTGTAAAGCTTGGCACATATCAAGGTTAACTGGATGGGCCAGGGAGAATGGACGGCGCCAACAACCTTACCGAAACCCCAGACTCCATCACCCTGTGACGCTGCCTCAGGGCCAGTAAGCCAGACACACGGTAGCCGCGAATCATCCAAGCCCGATAGTCGCTCGAACCTTACCTTATGCTGTCCCGAGCGAGTGACAAGATGCCAAGGTCTTGAGAAACCCAGCCTCAATGTCGAATCCACCTGTGGTGTGGTTCTTTGCATTTCTCACACCACAAGCCCGAGGACCCCTGCCGTCTGGCTTGTCAGTCTCATGGGAAGCCTTGGCCGCCGACCTTATTCGACCCGGTAGGCGTTGGTCGACGTCAACGTTCATCGCAAAAATCGTACGATGTTGTTTACAGCAGCTACCATCCCCACGTGCTATCACTGGCGATCTACTCGAGCTCATTCGGCTTGGTCAACCGAGCGCCAAACAACTGGAAAAGCTGTTGTTCATTCTCGTGATCCATCTCATACATCATTCGAGGGGTTCCCACAAACACTCAACGTGGCACCTACAACATGCCCTTCTGGACCTCATCCTTTCTCTCCTCCCACAGCGTCTTGCCCGTGCATGAGCAGACTGTCTTATCATTGTCCCACACGCCTGCACTCCTGGCAATCACGCCGACGACCGTGTCCGGGTCATTCTTCAGGATCCCCGCAGACTCATCCTGTCTCGAGACGACCATAGCGTGGCCAATGATTTCCCAGATCTGGAAGGGCTTGTCGAGGTAGGCGCTGCCTCTTCCATCCTTGCCGACTTCAAAGGTGCCCAAGAATCCCTTGGCAGCGGCGCCTTCGCTGCCTCCCGACCAGACAGGGCCCGTCGATGAGGCGCCCGTCTCCAAGTTACCATACTCACGGATTGTTGCTCGGTAGGAGCCGGGGGCTACGCCGCGAAGAGTCAAGTCAATCAGGGTGGTGGTGGGAGACACCTGCACCATTCTAGCCAGTCCCCTGACATCTCGGGTTCGCTCATCATCCCACTTTGATGCACCGCCATTGCCGTCTGCCTGATAGAAAGACTCGAGAATGCTGACAGCAGCACCTAATTGGTGAGTAAGCCTTTGCGCTCGTGTGTCAAGTTGTCAAGATGAGCAAGTTTAAGAGTGAATACCCCATCTGCCGATGCCAATGCCGGTGCGGCGGTATCTACAAGACGGGATGGGTGGTATCAAGAAACAACTTAATATTCGCCAAGGGGTTACAGGAAATGCAGAATGTGTACTTGGGCAACGCCAAAAGCCAGCGCTGGATAGGCAGAAAATTTCTCGCCCAGGATTGTACGGGAGTGGCGGAGACGAAAAGAGAGACTTGGTTCAACCTACTGTTTGATACTCCCGAACCTCGCAGGATAGCGTCCCTCCCCGTGGCTTGAATGGCGTCAACGATGGCGGATGGTGCGGCTGCAAAACGTTGCCAAGGGGTTAGTAACGATTGTCAACGATACGCCAATCTTGACTCTATCGGGTTGAAGGGTGAGAGGCATTCCCTCCAAGCCAAAACAGACAAGCCTTGGACGCCTCAAAGCATAGCTTTGCCCTACTACCGCCCGCAAGAGCCCACCTCCCCCAGCATCGTGACGAGAGGAAGAGTACTTTCACCAAGCACTTGACGTTGCAGTGCGACGCAGGTAGTTGGGGAAAAGGTGACCGGCGGGCAAAAGATTGTGTGGGAGTCCGCCCGTGGGGAAAAGGGAAAAATGGTGGTGGGACAGAATTTTGGCCCAACCCCTAAGCCCGCAACATTTCGGCTTGAGAGTTTGCAGCAGAAGGGAGCGTACCTGTGCCCTCGACGGAGAGTAATTGGTCCTTGAGATCGGCCTCGACCTTGGTGATGCCCCCCAGCTTGTACAACGAGTCTGAAACGTCCTTGACGCAGCTGTCACATGTCATGGGCACCGCGAAAACGGTCTAGTGTCGCGTTTCATTAGCAATCCCTTTGGTAAGGAACGGCCAACATCCTCTGGGTTGCGCAGCAGATGGAGAAAAAGTAGGCTTGGGGAGAGTGTGCAAGGTGAAGAATAAGGGAAGATGTCAAAGTCCGTCTCGCCGCGCCGTCTTTGCAGGTCGGCTTGGCATAAAGCATGCTGGTCTTTTTTCCTTCTTTTCCATTTTGCCTGGAAACAGGACGAGTTGAAGAGAGGACGGCATATTCTGGTGCTGCGGGCGGGCGGGCGAGCGGAGGAGGGGGCAAAGGGGAAAGGGTAGACGAACCTGAAAACGATATGAGACGGTCATCGTGAAGGGTCTCGTCGGTCTTGCGCTTGGCTGGTGCGGGCTTCGTAGCAGAGAGCGGTAGTTGTGGAGGAAGTCGGGGAGGCAGTAGAGCATGCTCTGCCCTGCTGGCAACTGTGTGTAAGGTAGTGGTTATGGATGGCCAACAGTCGGGTTTTAATCGTTATCTTCCGAAAGCCTAGGAAATCTTCTATTCACCGAGAGGGAGATTGGCTGTATATGGTGGTGATGGAAGTTTTGCGAGGTTCTGTTTCTATTCCCTTCCAAAGTGGCATGCCCGCCCAATGGGAGAACCGGATACGCGCCTTTTAATACCTGTATCGTGGGATCCGACAGTGGTGCCTTTGCTGAGAAATCGCCTTACCGGCGAGCCCCTCAGCAGTTCCGGAGCAGCAGGCGCAACAGCAGAGCGATGACGGCTCGCTGTGACGAGCTTAAAGATGCCCCGCCATGACGCCCGGGCCATCTGGTGCCCTTCAACTGTGACATTTCGTAATCGGGGGTTGTTCGGCGCTCGGTCACCGCAGCTGCCGATGGGGGGGATCCAGATCGATAAGTGCTTATCGGATAAGATCACGAGTATAATCACGTGCCGTCGTGTCTCCAAATTTTTGGGAGAGCTCAGGTCAGGCGAATTGAAGGTATCGATATCCAACGGGCAGCGCAAACGACCGCCGCGTACAACCAAAGACGAAATTCGGAGCGCGACTGCTGGCCCGCTGCCGATCGACTGTCCCTGAATCCATTGGGGCGGAAAAATCCATCAAACAAGCGGCAGGACGGAAACCCAGCTGAGGCGGCTGGCCTAGGAGGTTCTCAAGATGTCGCAAACCCTCGGCCTCGTAAGTCCTTCTCCCCCCGGTCACCAATTGCACTCTCCCCAGCAGCAACCTCCAGACCGCTAACCATTTCCCCGTGTGGATGACAGACCCGCCTCTCTTACTCAAGAGTATGGCACCAGATCTCGGCCGCGGCGCCGCACGAGACGCTCTCGACGCAGCCGGGCGTGACGCCGCCCTCGCTGGGCCGGCTGGCGTCCCGCATCGCGACGCTGCTGATGGGCAAGCACAAGCCGACGTGGGACCCGTCGACGGACTGCGGCGACTACGTGGTGGTGACGGACTGCGCGGCGCTGCACGTGACGGGGCGCAAGAAGTGGCAGAAGACGTACTACCGGCACAACACGCGGCCGGGCTCGCTGCGGCAGGTGACGATGGACGTGCTGATGGAGAAGCACGGCGGCGCGGAGGTGCTGCGCAAGGCGGTCAGCGGGATGCTGCCCAAGAACCGGCTGCGGGACAAGAGGCTGGCGCGGCTCAAGGCGTTCGAGGGCGCGGCGCACCCGTACAAGCAGAACGTGATCCGGTTCGGGGACGTGCCTGTGGGCCAGACGGGGTGGGAGGAGCAGGTTAAGGCTATTCGCGAGGCTGACTCGAAGAGGACATAAGATGATGGGGGGAGGGGAGGGGAGTGTGTGGAAGGGTTTTGGCCGTATGGCATGTATATTCTGTATGAATATGGGCATCTCAATTGAAGTCTAATGAGTCTCATGGAACTGCGTTGTTGTCAATGGACTTGTGAAGTTGGATGGTTGCTACCTCGGGCGGGGAAGAGCATGATGTTTGGTGCGTCTGGTTTGAGCGGCAGCGAAGATCTGCTGAGATCTTGATGTAAGATGGATGACACGTGAGAATAGGGAGAGGGCTGTGGTTTGCCGCTGTACGCCTGTGGCAGCTCAAGACTCGATCTGTTTCTCTTGTTCGTGTTTTGATTCGCTCCTTGCTACGTCCTGACGCTCTTCATTTATAAAGAGTGATCATACCATGTCCTAAAGCCTTCATTGAATCCAACCTGTGGAGTGTGGTGAAGTGCAGAAAGACGTCTGCCCAGACTTCATGTGTGAGTTCACTTGATAACTAGTTGATATGTCTGTTGGTATAGCCCATGTCCGTTTCTTCAGGTGATTCGAAGCAAGGACGGAAAATGATAATGTCCTAGGCGGAGTAAGTTGATGCTCAGCGACCGTTCATATGCCATGGCGTTGACGTTGTTGCCTACACATGACTTGAGCCATGAGAAAACTATCTACTTGAGTTCGGTAATCAACACTTAGAGAAAGCTAGGCTTCTGATCGGATCTGATGGTAGCAATGTCCTACAGCTATGGGGACGGACAACGACGTCTGATTAACAGACGTAGTTTCACCGGAAATTTGTTCGTTGACCATTGTCTTCAGTTCCGGCCAAATTCGCGTTTTTCAGCTCATGTTGACGATGAGACGATCATCACTGGTTCTCATGCTAAGATGCATATCTCTTATCGCGCTTGCCTTAAGATGAGGTGCTAAAAATCGGCGTCATGTTATTACATATGAACTCACGATAATCTTTACGTCACTCATTTGGACCGAGACGTTGCAATCTAGCACTTGATATCATTGCTCTAAGTCATTGCTCGTTATTACAGTAAAATATACCCAGCCAGATGCGGTTAGAAAATGCATAGACGCCGGGATAAATGCAGTGCAGGCTTCAAATCCTCTCCATCTCATTCCCTCTCAGCGACGCCCCAACCCTTACAACTTGGCCGTCTCGTTCTTGGCAGAGCGCGCGACCTCGCACCTGATGAGACCGTTCGGGCCGGACTGCGGCGCGTACACCTCGGCGTCCTTGCCTGTGTTCTTCAGGCCGTTGTGCCAGCTGAGGTCGATCTCAAAGTAGTGCTTGTTAGGGAGCGTGTACGTGACGGTCAGGACCTCTGGCACGGCGGCGAGGATCTGCTCGCACATCTTGTACATCGTGTTCTGCACGCTGGCGCTCTCGTCCTCTGCGAAGGTCTTCATGGTGATGTCGCGGGCGGCCTGCCAGGCCGGGTCGAACTTGGGGACGGCGGCCCTGACGGCGGCGACGTCGGGGAACTTCCAGGACCACTGGGCGTCGACGTCGGTGGAGAGGATGCGGTCCCAGGTCTCGGGGAGGGTGGTGTACTCGTCGCGGACGAAGCCGTGGAAGGCGGAGCCGGTGCTCTTGAGGACGGTGAGCTTCTGGATGGCGGAGGTGAGGGCGATGCCGTCCTTGCGGGAGATGCGGGCCTCGACGTTGCGGGTCTCCTCGCCGTCGCGGAAGAAGGAGTGTGGGTGCGGCTTGCCGTCGACGGTCATGCGGGTCCAGCGGTGCTGGACGATCTTGATGTTGGCGGCGTGGATGTGCTTGTAGGTGTCGAGGAAGTGGGTGCCGAGGATGGAGGCGTAGAGCTCGGGCGGGTTGATGGGGTTCTCCTTGGCCTTGATGTAGATTGTGTTCTTGATGGAGTCGGTGGCGACGACGACGCTGTTGTCGGCGACGGTGTAGGATGTCTCGATCTCGCCCTCGAGCAGGCAGCAGACGGTCATCTCGGTGACGGTCTGGGAGTCGCCGTGGCGCTCGACCTTGTAGACGCGGACATTGTCCTTGCCGTAGCGGGCGGAGGCGAGAGCGGGCATGTTGGCGGTTGTTGTTGTAGGTTTGAGAGAGGGTATCACAGGGAGAGGTGGTATGAGACTTATCACGGGGTATGAGATGGGTGTGAGATAAGGACCGCTGTTGGAAAGAACTGGAAGCAAGATGTGATGGCTTGAATGTGAGAGGAGTGGTTGTTGTTGAGGTTGGGGATGAGATGAGGTCGCACGGAGGACAGACTAGAGGGAGAGGAGATAGTCGTCGAGGGGCCCGATAAGTGTTTATATATTAAGACGGCAAGGTTGAGAGCTCTTTGCTTGCCTCTCGCTTGCCTCTCAAGCTCACCTTAGCCTCATTCAACGTCACCCAGTACACACAAAGCTGTCAGGCCCCCGGAGATAGATAGCGTAGTCGCGTCTTGAGTCGGCACGTTTTTTTGCCCTGGCCCGCGGGACGCCATCAGGGGACCCAATGAGCCTGGCCGAACTGACCCGGTTTGCTTGATATGGCCCGGCAGCCGTGGGGTAAGATGGTCTCATTGGCGTGGAGTGGAGCCCCCGGAGCCCGCCGATGTCCCTTGGGGGCAGCCCGCCGCACTCAGCCGCTTCAGTGGGAGCTTGACTACGGCTCTCTGCGCCAGGCGGGACGGCGGGGAACGCTGGGTAATTTGTCTACTTCAGAAATGAAAAAGCAAACGCCTTTCGGTCAATGATGGACTAGTGTAGGGTTTCTGCAGGGTCCGCATTGAGGATATTGACACGGGACTCGGGGTCTGTTGGTTCATCTTTCGTGTAATTGTTACTCCCACGCTGGTGATCACTGGCTGAAGCACCACCTTACCATAGCATCATGGAGACATATATCCGAGTCTGGCAAAGTTCACTTGGACACTCCGTCCAATGGAAAGGCGCACCCAACAGAGGAAGAGTTTGCGCCGGTGATCGGTCAGAATGATACTGAATGTTTGCATGTACTGTGTAGTACACCAAGTCTCCTAGAGGCTCACTGAACCCCACATCGTTATGCAGGTCCTTCTCAGCAATCCCAAGGGCCCGGCCGACCATCTGCCGCCCCTCCCCGAGCCTGAGGTGAGAAGGAAGCCAAGTGAGGCGAGGTGACGACCGATAGGATCCGGGAACCCCGCTTCTTCGGTGGTGTGTGGGTAAGTATGAGGCCGAAGGACCGAAGATCAGAAGCCGGTTCATGATCCTGACAGAAATAATTCTGTTCACGCTATTCACGCTAGCAGCAGCACTCGATCGCTCGCGCTCAGCGGCGGGGAGCCTTATCGCACGCACAGATGGACGTCTCCGAGGGCATCGAACGACTTGTGGAAGGGAGCCGGCCGCGTTTCAGCATTGGCAGTGACAGTCTGCGCTGTGGCACGAGCAGCTTCAGACGGCAAGGGCTTTCCTCGGGAGGATAAAGTAGGATGGTCCATGGTTCGTGGTCCGTGGTGCATGGTTGCGAGCATGATGAAGGTCTCTGGAAGCAGTTGGCAGTCGTGTGCCAAGATCTGTGTCTGGTCTTCTAGTGGCTTTATCCGGATCTCTGGCCGTGTGTTGCAATGCGCTTCATGCCAATGGTACTGGTTAACCGAAGGCGAGCTGGTTGTCATCTTTGGCTTTCTTGGTTGTTCGGATCAACGGCCATTCTAGACTGCCGTTCCGATCCCATGTGCTGCTGGTGATGTGTTGCGATGGAAGTACGGTCGAATCATGTGCCACTATGTCGTTGACGGGACGGCAGACGTAGATGGTGGATGGGTCATCAGATCGCACGGCAAAGGCACTCGCGAATGTGTGCATGAGGCTATCTCGTCTTGCAAGGTGAGCGGTGTAGGTTGGCCTGCATGTCGGTCAAATCTTCGATGTTCCAGGTGCCTTTCTCAGCTGCACCTTCCATTCGATTTTGGTTGGCCTTAGGTAAGGCAGTGCAGCAGTTGAGCGCACCTTGGGCACGCACTGGACGCCCACTTCTCCACGACGTTAGTGCCGCCGTAGCACTGACTGGACTGACCGACGCGCTGTGCTGCACCTCCCGTAGCTGGCCCGGGTCGAACTGGAACAGACCTGACGTTGTGCCACAGCACCACTTCGACAGCGACCCCCCTCCCCCCTTGAACCACCAAAGCAGCGCAACGGCGGCTCCCCCACTCCCAAAGTCGGCACCAGGCTGTGGATGACAGGCTACACACTGCACAGAGGTTGGAATGTCCGTGGCAGAGGTGTGGCACAACGCAACGCAACGCCCCAGTGAACACCACCACAACGACCGCTTCCATCACAACCAACTACCCCATCTCGACACGAACTTGGAACTTGAACAACTTCCGGATCGAACGAGCTCCCATCTTGTCCCGCGAGACGGTCCGACGTCGAGAACCCGCCCGGATACTGCCCGCCGACCGGCACCCCTTTGCGCATATCCCGTCCTCAGCTTTGAACCCCATCGCATCTCCACCAGCACCGCCAACCTGCCTTTGTATTGGCTTCTGCAAGCTGCCGACCAACTTCACACGCCTGCCCAACGCATCGCGACCCGAATTACAACCTTCCAGAAACCCAGCTCGAGCCTTCCTTCATCAACTGCTTTCCCCCGACCGGTCCAACGTCGCCCCTCTCCGACCCACGATTGAAACTCCATCCTCCTATCGCGAAACCCACCCCGATCGGCGAAGGTCCCAAATCTGTCGCGCGAACCCAATCGATCAGTCTACCCCCAGTCTTGGACTTCTACAACAATATCTTAGACTTTCCGCAATAACAGTTGCCCGAATGCAAGGACTTTGGGAGCGGCCCCGGAAAAAGGTGGTATCATAGAGAGGTATACCCGCCATGCTGGGCGCATCCGCAACCCAGTCCCAAAAGGCATTGTCGCCTCAGTCGTCCACTCCCAGCGTCAACACGCTCAATCCCAGGCCCAGTTTCGAGCGCGAACCTAGCAGCAGTGGTCTCCAACCGCCCCTCAGCTCTACAAATGGCCCAAGAAGCCTGGGCGCCTCGGGCGTCAGCTTCGCCCCGCGAGGCTCTTCCCTCAACCCCTCCATCGCCCCGGGAAGCTTCAGCTCCGAGCTGCGCAGCCAGATGATGCCCTCGCGCTCCGGTTCTCGCGGCGACATCTATGCCATGGACAAGGTCGACGAGGTCGACGGCATCTCTGCTGCCGAGCAGGCCCTCGCCAATCTGCGGGAACAGCTGAACCGCGAGATGAAGATCAAGGATGGTAGCGAGAACATGCTTGAGGCCCTGAACGCTAAGAAGGCCAAGCAGACGAAAGAGCAGAGGGCCAAGGTGGAGGCCGAGCTCAAGGCATCCAACTCGCGTATCCAGCTCTTACGACAGAAGATTGCCGACGCCCAGAGATTGAAAACGACGCCCACTACGCCTACGAGGCAAAGAACCGACGGCTTCTTTCCGCCCAACAACGGCTTGCGATCGCCCCCCAGTGCTTCCCGCAGTGGTGCAGGATCTGACGCCGAGGATGTGGCCGAGCAGTCGCCGACCTTCCTCTTGGCTGAGCTGCTTCAGGCGCTGGAGCAGGAGGGTATGCCTCCTGAATACTATGTCAGCCGCGGCAATAGCCTTGTAGATCTCTTCAGGAGGCATCCGACTCTAAAGTACGACCTAGTCTGGTCTGTTTTTGGTCTACGAATGCAGGTCATGCTTCTCAGCGAGGCCAGGGAAGTGGTAGCAGCCGGTTACAGGATGATTCGATACGCCATATCAGATGTGTCATCTTTGAGGAAGATTCGCAGCTTAAACACTGATATCATCGTCGTGACGTGAGTTATTCCATCTCATCTCTTTGGCAAGGACAAGTAGATAACTTTTGGACAGATCTTTGATCAAGGATCGAAAAGCTGATCTAGAGCGCGAGCAAGCACTCAAGTTTGTCCGAGCCTTTTTGGATGTCAAGGACGGCGTCAAGGAGATATCAAGGGCGGTCGTACGCACCGTTGCAGCTGTTGCAGAGCAAGCTGAGGACCGCCTCAGGTCGATCTGCCTGGAAACCCTGGCCGAAATCATGCTCCGCGACCCCGCGTTGGCTGTAGCCTCTGGAGGTCTGTCGCCACTTTCAGAGGCGCTCATTGAGGGCACATACAAGTCACCAGAAACCCTTACTGCCTCTTACATGCAGATTCTGGACAACCCACAGAAGAGGATTTATTTGCGCTCTGGTTATGATCTGGAGGTTCTCTTTACGGCGTTTACAGACATCATTCTCGCCAACGAGAGCCTGCTAAAGCAAAACTCTAAAGCCATCACCAAAATCTTGAAGAGCTGGCCAGGTCTCATGATGCTAACAATGCATGACTCCCGAGCCATCAAGTCGTTGCTCACCAGCATGGTGCTCCCCCAGGCGGCCATCCGAGAGACCGTCATTGACCTCATCTACCTGCTACTTCGGATCAAATCTCCCTCGTGGGCCTCCTCGTTCCTTGCCGGCCGTAGGTTGACGACATACGGACGAGTGGCAAGCCTCAAATCAATGCCCAATCAGCAAGCACCACTGGCCATCAGCATGCCTCATGAAGATGACGGCGGGGAGCAGAACTTCATGGATCATTATACAGCCTTGCTCCTGGCGACATTTGTCAAAGCTGGTTTATTGGAAAATCTGCTCCAAGTTGCCAGAACAAGCGAGCCGGCTTTGACGAGAAAAACTTGCCTTCTTATCGGTGAGGTACTCAAATTGTCCAGCAGACTGCTTCCCGCCTCTTGGAGCAATGACTTGCCATTACTTCCCGATCTCTTTGCTGCCGCCACCCAATTCAAGGATGACAATAGATTCGTTGCGTCAGGTATAGTGTACCAGATAAGTTCTGTGAGCAAGACGTTGTATAGGAGTTCCTCGTCATCCGCCACTGCTGGCGCTCTGCCCTCGAGTGATAGTATGGGAAACCTCGCAGACATGCACCGCAAAGGCAACGCAGGAGTTGTGGTTCAAGAGGGCGCAATCCGGCAGTTGCTAGTCGAGTCCAACGTCTTGAACAGCTCAAATTACATGAAGTGGAACTGGGATGTCATCTCCCGCATCATCGATGGGCCGCTTCAAGATGGCAAACGACTGGACGAAGTCAACAGGGTTTCCAAGTTCATGAACAGGATCATGAGTTTCTACAGGCCGTTTAAGCACCGGTTCTCAGACCTGTCGACCAACAAGAACACCCAAAAGTACGTCAGAGTTGGCTGTGCATTGATGCACACCTTGCTGCAATCACCGGAAGGTGTCGACTACCTGCAAGATCATAAGCTGCTAAGACAAATAGCGGAATGCCTCGCTCAGTGTGATCCAGTAAGTTCTATGGTAACAGCGCCATCCAGACAAAGACTAACACACAAAACAGAGCAGTGGACTCACTTCTGCCGATCCAATGTTCTCGCCCGGTCGCCTGCAGAGCACTCTTTGTGCCGGCTACTTCCCAATGTTGGGGGTTCTTAGCGGCGATCCCAAAGGTTTAGAGCTTCTTCAGCGATGGAGAATGTTCAACATGATGTATCACATCCTTGGACACAAGCAACGTCCCGATCTGATCAAACTTCTCCTCGCCAATTTCGACTACAGCGTCCCAGGCCACCCTCGAGTGCTAATCGAACAGGCACTTACGTCTGGGACAAGGGAGATTCGAATCATTGCCACAAATGTCCTGCGGAAATATGCGACTCGACCTTTTGACGCGTCGCAGCCGTCTCACGGCAAGGTGGATTGGAAGTGGGCGATAGAGAAGTTGGTCGACCAGCTATATGACCCCGAGGTAGAGGTCTGCCGGACCGCGGTTAAGATCCTCGAGAAGGCGTGCAATAAGAAGGCATATCTGGAGTACGTCGTCCAATGTCGTCCAACAATGGACCATCTTGGAGAAATCGGCGCCCCTCTCCTCCTTCGGTTCTTGTCCTCCTCAATCGGCTACCACTACCTCGACGGTGTTGACTATATCAGCAACGAGATGGATGATTGGTTCCTCGGCCGGAACGACTCGTACGTTGGTGTTATTGAGACCAGTCTGGCGAAGGCGTTCCTCGAGAACCCGGAAGAACACCAAAACCGGATGAACATGGTGGACGAAGCTCAAGCAGAAGCCGAGCCAGAGAACCACATTCCGCCACACTTTTACCGCGAGCTTGCACGCACACAAGAGGGCTGCAAACTGCTGAGTGACAAGGGGCATTTTGCAGAGTTTGCCAGCACTATCAAGGAATACGGGATGCAGTCGGAGGACCCTGAGCTCATGCTCAAAGTCAAAGCATCTATGTGGGCTGTTGGCAACGTAGGCTCAATGGAGCTGGGAGCTCCCTTCATTGAGTCTTGTGATGTCGTGGAGGACATTGTCAAGATTGCCGAGGAGCATGAGGTGATGAGCTTGCGGGGTACAGCCTTCTTCGTGCTGGGACTGATCTCAAGATCGGCGCACGGTCTTGAGATTCTCTCGGAATGCGGATGGGACTCCAACTTGTCACCTAGGGGGGAATCGTTGGGCTTCTGCATCCCGAACGACCTGACCAAGTTCTTCTCTTTCAAGCCTTGGAAGCATGCCATTGCGTCCAAGATCGCGCTCCCCAACACGCAGAAGACTTACTTGGTTCCGCCACCTCCCACCGAAGCTCGCCCGCCCCTGGAAAAGGAGGAATTACCAGCCTTCACCGACGAGGTTGCCACTAACCAGCGAATCCTCGACTTGGTTGTTGACCTCGGCAACATGGTTCTCTACAAGCGCGCTATGGGCGAGCTGATGCAGATCCGGCAGCACAAGGTAGCGGGCTTTAGGTCACCAAAGATGTTCAAGCGGATCATGACGATGCTTGAATACAATCACTATCGCCTACCAATCAGGCGGATGGTGATAGAAATGTTCGACAAGAACGTTCTTCGAAGGATCGTGTTCGACGAGGACAGCGACAGCGACGATGATGACGACGAAGATGAGGAAGCAGAGGAAGAAGACAATGGGTCTTCTTCTGGGGATGAGAACCGCACTGAGAGGCAGAGGAGCATATCGGACCCGTCCGAATTGGAGAAGGACAACCATCAGCCGCGGGCAGAGCGATCGGACAGTCTGAGTTCGGATCAGACGGATGACTTTGCGGAGACGGCGTGAAGCTACGTCGTTGTACTATAGAGCCGCACAGTTTCACGGGGTATCTCGCATATGGAGGGAAATGAGGTGGATTTCAAGATGCGTTGGTGGCACCCATGATGAGGCGTTTTGTTACTATTGGTCTTTTTTGTACTATATCTCGGGATCTGGGGAGATGGATACGTCGATCAATTGGCCGAGTTTCAGGCCAAGCACAGAGAAGCTCTCTGAGAAATCACGAAATGTCCATTTGGGAGCGAGCAATGGATAGGATGGAGTCGGGCGGCCATCTGCGTATCGATTCCCGGGGAGTAGGGTGTCGGCAGGAAGGCAATTCAAAAGTCACTGGTTCACTCATCTCGTTATTTTTTGCATTTGACATCGAGGACTTGATTGACATCCAAAGTATCGCAAGGAGGCGTGATTGATGGATATGGGGGTGGGAAGGGAACGCGTGCTCTGGAGTACTCAGGAATACTATACCTCATGAAAACTTGGTGACTGCCCCGCCCCCACCTTGAGTGACATCTACGAACCACCACGGCCTCCGACGCCAACCGACCCGGGCGGGTGCCTGCTTCGGAGCTTCAAGTAACATCGTCTGCCGTAGCGGTCCTCGACCACAACCTCAGATTTCCCCAGGATTTTTATAAACGGTTTCCGCGAAGCAAGCATGGTCTCTGGGCGAGTACTGGTCATCGCCGGCTCGGATAGCTCCGGTGGAGCGTGAGTAATCACCCAAGATTTTCCCCGTCCTTGAAGCAAAGTCCACTGACGTGATGCCTTCTGTTTCGCAGCGGGCTAGAGGCAGACCAGAAGGTCATCGCGGCTCATGGGTGCTATGCCATGACGGCCACGACCGCTCTCACTGCGCAAGACACCACGGGAGTGCACGACATTCATCATGTGCCGCAGGACTTCCTGGTCAAGCAAATTGATGCCTGCGTAAACGACATCGGCGTCGACGTCGCCAAGACTGGCAAGTTGCGCCTTTCCACCCTTTGATTTTCGATGTCTGGGGCTCTTTTCTCATGGAGTTGCATTGGCTGACGAGGGCGGGATTCTAGGTATGCTAGCTTCGCCTGCCACGATTGGGACCGTCGTCGAGGCTCTGAAGAGGCATCGCGTGCCGAAGATTGTTGTCGACCCCGTCATGATTGCGACCAGCGGCGCGGAGCTTCTCCCGAGAGATGCTGTTGCCGAGCTGCTTGAGGGGCTGCTGAAGATCACGACGGTTCTTACGCCGAATATCCCCGAGGCCAAGTTGCTTCTGCAGGATGCTGGGTTTGAGGCCGCCGATGTTGCTTCCGTGGCAGATCTGGAAGAGATGGCGCGAAAGGTGAAGGGTCTTGGACCCGAGTGGGTGCTTGTCAAGGGCGGGCATGCGCCGTTCAAGGCGGACTTCACCGTTGCGAAGACGGAGGAAGAGAAGGAGGTTGTTGTGGATGTGTTGTATGGCGAGGGAGGCTTCGTGAGGATCGAGAGCCCGTATCAGGCGTCGAAAGACACGCACGGGACGGGCTGCTCGCTTGCCTGTAAGTTTCTTTTTTGAAATGTTGTCTGAAGAGTGGTACTGATGGTTTGCAGCTGCTATAGCGTCGGGTCTTGCAAAGGGGCTGAGTGTACCTGAAGCTGCGAGGGCTGGGGTGAGGTATATTGAAGCTGCGATCCGGACGGCGCCTGGATTCGGAAAGGGTCATGGGCCTTTGAATCACTTTCACTCCATTCAGACCCTGCCATTCGCGCCGTGGGTGCTCTCCTTCGTCTTGGTGGTGATTTCAACTGACAGTACTTAGGGGTCGGTTCATCGAGTACATGCTGGCGAGGCCTGATGTCAAGGATGTATGGTCAGAGTTTGTGTACCATCCCTTCGTCATGGCTATGGGTGATGGGACGCTGCCTTTGGAGTCATTCAAGAAGTATCTCATCCAGGATTACCTCTATCTGGTTTGTGATGTTTCCCCTCCTCATTGGATCCTTGCTGACTTGGGTAGGTCCATTTCGCTAGGGCCAACTCGTTGGCTTCTTACAAGGCGAAAAACATTGCAGACATCTCAGCAGGTGCTACCATTGTCAGCCATATCGCTCGCGAGATGTCTCTGCACATCGATTACTGCAAGGGCTTTGGAATCACAGTGCCTGAAATCGAGGCCACCGAAGAGCACCAAGCATGCACAGCTTACACCCGCTACGTCCTCGATGTCGGACAGAGTGAGGACTGGATCGCCCTACAGATGGCATTGGCTCCTTGTCTGTTGGGCTACGGTGCCGTGGCTAAACAGCTACACGGCGATGTCAAGACGAAACGGGACGACAACACGTACTGGAAGTGGATCGAGAACTATGTAGCCGATGACTACGTCCATGCCGTGAAGACAGGCTCTGCGTTGATCGAGAGACACGCCGTTTTGCAAAGTCCTTCCAGCATAGAACGTCTGATCAAGATATTTATTCATGGAACCAAGGTAAGCCCTGCAGAAGATGAGGCTTCCGGCCCGTAGCTGACCCACGAACAGATGGAAATCGGCTTCTGGGAAATGTTCCCTCACCGATGATATGCTAGACAACCCGGATAGGTTGGTCCATGAATTCCATAGAGTACACAGGAAGAGGGGCCGTTCAACAAAGACTAGACTAGAATTCAAAACGTCGGCAAGAATTTCTCCGACGGCATTGTTCAAACAACTCGTATTGAGGTGGAGGACGGTGAGGTCCGGCTGCTGGCGTCATTCGCAGTCTCAAACGGCCTCATACACTGCGCCCTGCTAGAAAAGAAGCTAGTCCAGGCGGGTCAGCCGGGACTCGGGCCAGAAAGCCAAGCACCGTTGTGCTCTTCAGTATCTGTCGTCCGATGGAATACCGCATATTCTCTTTCCTTGACAGCCCAGCTCTGGTGAGCCTGCCGCAGCATAACGGACGCCAAACACTGAGAGAAGAAAGAGCTTCCCTGCTTGGCATATGTAACTCGAAATGAGGCCAGATGGTTTCCAATCACTCGCAGCTGTTCCCGCAGACAGCGCGCAAATTCTGAGGGAATGGATACGCCGTCCAAACCTCCCAGGTGAGAGAGAGTCATGGATCATGTTGCAAAGCACGAAGGTGCCTTATCGCGAGTCAGATCCACCGTTACCTAATCATCCCGATAAGAAGGAAGCGGGTCCCACGTGCAGCAGTTCTGCAGGGTTGCATCCACCCCGAAAGGCAGTCTCAGTCCGGCGGTAGGGGGTACGTATCCTTTTGCCTTACCTTAGCAAGCAAAATTGCAAGGTCCCTACTGGCAGCGCCTGCCTGTCGCCGCTGAAAAGTTTTGGCAGCGAGGAAAAAAATTCCTACCCCAGCAAAACGCCTTGCGCACCCAAAACCTTCCATCCATCCATCCTGCTCTTTTTTTTCTTCCTTCCCTTCTGCATCCCTCTCCCTCTCCCATCACAAACTCCCATCTCACGCAACCAACTCTCTTTTCGGTTCGGTCCAGAAAAGAGCTCTACCTGCGTGCTCTTCCCATCCACGGTCTTTCTTTCTGCCATTTGACATCGCTTCATACGCGAACCCATCGACAAACAAGCTTCTAGCGCGTTCACTGCCTCTCTAGCACAAACATGTCCTACGGCGGCGGATACGGTGGTGGTGGCCAGGGCGGCTACGGAGGAGGTCGTGGAGGCGGTTACGGCGGTGGTCGTGATCGCGGCGACAGAGGTGATCGCGGTGGCTACGGCGGCGGTGGCTACTCCAACGGGTAAGTTTTGATTGATTTCTCTCCTCCCCTTTTGTTCCGACAAAGTCGTTTCGCGAGGCTAGGCTACTGGGGGCTTGGCGCAACACAACACGATGTGACGATCGCCTGTAACCAACCTGAAGCAATCTCGATACGACAGCACGCGGACGTCGGCATTTCGCGTCGTCTCAAGCACATTATCAGAATCATTTTGCTGACCTTTTCCTATCAGAAACGGCTACGGTGGCGGCGGTGGTGGTTACGGCGGCGGCGGCGGCGGTGACCGCATGAACAACCTTGGCGCCGGTCTTCGCCAGCAAGAATGGGGTCAGTATTCATCATCACAGAATGCCACAGAACGATTTACTAACCCTTGCCGAACAGATTTTAACTCTCTCCCGAAATTCGAGAAGTCCTTCTACAAGGAGCACGAGGAGGTTGCCACCCGCAGCCCGGCCGAGGTCGACTCTTTCCGCCGCAAGCACCAGATGACCATTGCTGGCAACGATGTTCCCAAGCCCGTCGAGACCTTTGACGAGGCCGGTTTCCCCAGATACGTGATGGACGAGGTCAAGGCCCAGGGCTTCCCCGCGCCTACCGCCATTCAGTCTCAGGGCTGGCCTATGGCTCTGTCCGGTCGCGACGTCGTCGGTATTGCCGAGACGGGTTCCGGAAAGACCCTCACCTACTGCTTGCCCGCTATCGTCCACATCAACGCCCAGCCCCTGCTGGCCCCCGGCGATGGTCCAATCGTCCTCATTCTTGCTCCTACTCGTGAGCTTGCTGTCCAGATTCAGCAGGAGATTTCCAAGTTCGGAAAGTCTTCCCGCATTCGCAACACCTGCGTCTACGGTGGTGTCCCCAAGGGACCTCAGATCCGCGATCTCTCCAGAGGTGTTGAGGTCTGCATTGCCACCCCCGGTCGTCTGATTGATATGCTTGAGGCTGGCAAGACCAACCTGCGTCGCGTTACTTACCTGGTTCTCGACGAGGCTGATCGCATGCTGGACATGGGTTTCGAGCCCCAGATTCGCAAGATCATCGGCCAGATTCGCCCTGACCGCCAGACCCTCATGTGGTCCGCTACTTGGCCCAAGGAGGTCCGCGCCCTTGCCTCCGACTTCCTTACCGACTTCATCCAGGTCAACATCGGCTCCATGGAGCTCGCGGCCAACCACCGCATTACCCAGATCGTCGAGGTCGTTTCTGAGAGCGAGAAGCGCGACCGCATGATCAAGCACCTGGAGAAGGTCATGGATAACAAGGAGAACAAGATCCTCATCTTCGTCGGCACCAAGCGTGTCGCTGACGACATCACTCGCTTCCTTCGCCAGGACGGATGGCCTGCTTTGTGTACGTCTCCACCTTTGCCTTTGCCTGATCAACAGCTAACAACTTTGCAGCTATTCACGGTGACAAGCAGCAGAACGAGCGTGACTGGGTCCTTGACCAGTTCAAGACGGGCAAGAGCCCTATCATGGTGGCTACCGACGTCGCGTCGCGTGGTATTGGTGAGTATCAGAACCCCCCAACCCTCATGGCAACTTCCAGCAGCCTTGCGCTGTACTTTACTCTTATGTCTAGGGGCTCTCTTGATTGCGCAATTTTGCCTGATGCATTCGTGTCTCCATGGTTCTCTCTGCCTTTGAGCGGAGTCTTGGTCTGGTGTGTAGCCTTTGGCTTGCTATACTCGCTTTCCCACTCTTGTGCCTGCCTTTTGCCAATGGTACAAGCGTGGATACGGCATATCTTGATTCCATCAAGCTGTCCCCAAGATTCCCCAAGCCCGAGGACCCGGTACACTGAACTTTCCAGGATGGCATTTGACGCATACAGACTGCCCCGTCTCCGACGGAGTGAAAGACAGCCTGATATAATTATCAAACATGTCTGGTTCCATGCTGGAACGTTGCTATACCCACCGTGAGGCGTCTGCTAACCCTTCTAATAAGATGTTCGCAACATTACTCACGTGCTGAACTACGACTACCCCAACAACTCGGAGGACTACATCCACCGTATCGGTCGTACGGGTCGTGCCGGTGCCAAGGGTACCGCCATTACCCTCTTCACCACTGACAGTCAGTATCTTCCTTGTCTGGTATCTTGATCCAATCATGCTAACAACTTTGCAGACTCCAAGCAGGCTCGTGACCTTGTTAACGTGCTGAGAGAAGCGCGCCAAGAGATCGACCCTCGTCTCGCAGAGATGACCCGCTTCGGAGGTGGTGGTGGCGGTCGCTACGGCGGCTGGGGCCGTGGACGTGGTGGCGGTGGTGGTGGTAGAAGTATGTTTATCACTCCTCGCTTTCGACACCTATGCTAACAGTACGTTCGCAGACAACAATGCCAACAACGCTCCCCTTGGTGGCGCCCGACGCTGGTAAGGACTTCGCCCGACAGCGAGGTGATTGATTATCCATGCGGCGGCATCCTGCGCTTTCCAATGCAAAATCGGCGTTCACGTAGACGGGGATTTTAGACTCGAGGTACCCCGGACACGCCCATGTGTCCACGCAGTCGGTATCTTTTTCAAGGCTTTTCATTTCCTTAGTGTTTCTTTTATTTGGGCCCATACCGGCTTTGGGTTTGTTTGCGATTATTTCTTCAGGCATGGCCAAACGTGGATCAGGTTGAACAAAATTAGAGAGGGAACGAGGACGACCACAACGAAGAATGCCGAGAGAGGAACAGCATTAGAGACCCCCTCCGTTGGGTCCAGTGACTTTTGACGCTCTTTCCACGAGCAAAAGATTGGGTTGGCTTTGAAGTCGAGCAGTATTGATAGATGACTGTATGCCAGGCAAAGCTCGCCCTAAGGGCGGTATGCTGCTAGTTAGTAATAGGACAATCATCCAACGACGTTTACGCGACAATGGTGTGATGCTGGCTGGTCTCTCCCTTCTGTGAAGATGTTTGCGCGATACGTGAGGCTACCGAAGCCCCGGTCGTCAAGACGTGTGTTAACGTGTGTTAGCTTGGTGTTGTCCGTCTTCGTTTCCGGTTATGTCTGGGGCAGATACGTCGACGGAGATTGAGGCAAAATAAGCTCCCGCGGGCCAAGGCTAGAACCTTTCCTTACTGTTGCTTGGGAGCTTGTACTCCTTGTGGTTTTTCCTATTCTTGTTTCTTCTTGAACTGTCTGTTATCACGTCCTGACCATGCTGTATTCCAAATCTGCGCTCATCCAACAGGTTTCCCTGCCTTTCGACCGTCCGCGAACGAAGGGAAGGTTTAATTCAAGGCAGTCCTATTACCGCCATGTCTACCCTTTTTCTCTGACAGCGGGAAAGTCTTGATTTGGGTCCTGTCCTGTCAGTGGTGTGTCCAGTGGCCTCGGTCATCGAGACCTTCACGTCACAAATCCTTCTTGACTGTCTGCCCAGATCCGCCTTCCTGCCCGCCCTACTGAAGCCTGGTGATTGCATCCTGATTCAAATGAGTCTGAAGCGCTTATCTTGGAGTACATCCGCGAAGTCGGGGCTCGAACTGAAGCAGGGCGTCCACGCGATTGGCATCCTTGCCGTGGCGGAACAGTATCTCTCCACCGCCGTATACAGTTCAAGCCCAGATACATACTATAAAGGAGATACCTTTTGGTTTTCAGACAGTATTAGAACAGGAACCAATGTAACCAGGGTTCTTTGGATGGAACTGGGCGGTGAGATTTGCTAACGTGCCATGGTGCAAGTCATGATCGTTGCTGGACGATGCCACATCAAACCTGAGCGGTCCTTCGTCAAGTGGAACTGTCTTACCAGTTTCTTAAGTGTATCCCATGTGTATAATCTCGCAATGGTGCAGTCGAGGGAGGCCCTCAGATGAAAGCTAAACAGGCCG